AGTAATAAATATTAGTAGTATCTAAAGTATCTAAGTACATGCAGCACTTTGGAAGAAAATTTCTACAATACCGTTCATTTTAGCTCCAAAAAAGATTTTTGCTTTTCTTACTAAAAATGAATAGAAAATTAAAAAAAAAAAACATGAAAAACAAAAAGACAATATCTATTAATTTTTCCTTCTCTTCATTGGAAAATTGCAGCTTTTGGTAACTTTTATTGAGCATATTTAACCTACAATGGGGTCTATTCTGTAAAACATCCGTTAAAATTTAGAGGCTTTTAAAAAATTAAATTTTAGCGGCCCGTTAATTTTTTTAACCAAAAATGGCATTCTGTATACACAAATTTTAGAGGCCTGTTAAAAATTATTTATTTTAACGGATTCACCTAAAAATGGCAGGAGAACACTTGTCAGCTTGAACTTTTTGATTTGCGATTTTTTTTTAATTTTAACCCCTCTTAACCGCGCATTTTTAATCAGATTTTATTCAAAATTTTCAAGTTGATTTGATTTTTAGTTTTTGACTTATGTTGCGGAAAAAAAAACGTGACATCGGACGGACGTAGAACGGACATTTTTAAATGTCGTTTAAAATTTGATAGGAAGGATTTTGGAACAAAAATTTTTGAAATAATTTTGAAAATTCGGAAACAAATCTCGAAAAAAATCCCCCTATGAATTATTAGGACCATCCCCGAACCCCAATGGTGGAAACAAATACTTGGAGATTTTAAAAATAACCTGTCGTTGCCAATATTCGAATCCAGACATCTTTGTTCTGTACGCAAATTCTCTTGTCGCTAAGACCATGACTACATTGACTGTCGAGATTCCTAGACAGCAATTTGAAGTACTAGTTCGGGCCAGATGCCATTTAAGGCTCTATCTCAAATCTTCAAATACCTCTATGCAGCGTCGGTATATAAGAAAGGCATTGATGCAAAATAAGCCCATATCTTCGTCTGTGTGAGTTAAGTTTTCAATGTACGTTAAGCGACGTAAACCTGAGTATGAACATTTTTAATTTAAAATATTGTTGATGGCAAATCGAAATCCGAAAGGTCAGAACTGTATGAAATAAGTTGTAGAATTATTTTGAAAATTTGGAAGCAAATCTCAAAAATCCCACTACAAATTATTAAGACCATCCCCGAACCCCAAAGGTGAAAACAAATTTGAAAAAAAAAAAAATTGAAAAAAAGCTTGTGACCCGCGGGATTCGAACCCAGACATCTTAGCAATTTGATGTACTAGTTCGGGCCGATGCTGTATAAAGGTATTTGAGAACGAGCCTGAAACGACGTCCGGCCCGAACTAGTACAACAAATTTCTGGCCCCAACTAGTACATAAAATTGCTGTCTAGTGTACAGAACAAAGATTTCTGGGTTCGAATCCCTGTTTTCACCTTTGGGATTCGGGGATGGTCTTAATAATTCGTAAGGGGATTTTTAAGATTTGTTTGGCGTAAAAAAATATTAGAAAAAAATTGTCACTAACCTTTATAGTGAGCCAATGTTTATTATTTTCAATAGTTTGTCAAAATATTACTTTCTTAAAAAGCATATTCATCACCAAATTAAAAAAAAATCGTTTTTGATTTGTGGCAAATTTTGAATTTTGATTTCAAACTTTTAACACCCTGTATCTCTGTAACTGTAACTAAGCTCTTTAAAGGTTCCTGATAATATATCAAAATTTACGTTTTGAAATGTCCGTACCTGATGTCTAGGTATATTGTCCCCATTATTCTTTATTGTCAAATCCTAATTGAAATTATCAAGAAAACAAATATCATAATGCATACATTAATGTCATTAAGATAAGTAGTGTGCTTCAATCAGTTTTGTAATTTCATCACACTTTTATGAAAATAAGCTTAACATTCCATTGCCTACAAGCCATTAACGAAGCAGTGAAGTCGACTTCCTTGATATCTCATAAACTGGCATTTTCTTATTAGTCCTATATTATGCAAAATAGAATGGTGCAAAAAACTCCCTTCAATCGAACAACCGCCTTTAGTGTCCTGTTAATTTTCATCGAGAAACACTCTTTTTCACTTGTCAATAACGAGCTCAGGGGATAAACCAACCCCGAAAAAAAGGTGCCACGTTTACAACAAAAACAAAATATCAATTATTATCGAGCCATATTTTGTTTGCTTCTCCTTAATTTCCTAGTTTTCTGACAAAGTACTTACATAGTATTTACTTTTGTCTTTATTAGCAAGAAATTTATAATTATTTCCTATCAAAGGACGACCATGGTCAACCAATATTCTTACTTCGTTGTTGGTGACGGATATTCGAAACTGCATCCCGAATCGGTCAGGTACAATTTTTTACAACGAAACCATCCCGGGTACAATGAAACTGCAACTAAATTTCTACGAAAATTTAACCAGTTGTCAAATGTAATTTTTGAAAGTAGATACATACCTACAAAATAAAAGAAACTTACATAAAAGGTACTTTATTGAACCCTTACCAGAAAAATGTTAGAAAATGGGACATGCATATAACATAATTATTGGAAGATATATTTTTATATTCCTGGTTATTCCAGTAATAATTAACATAGTAATAATTGTTGTTTTGTGATGAGGTTATTTGGATAAAACTAACTTAAATTACCAAATGGACTTTTAATTAGCTTTAGTTCCAGGTATAAACGGATTATCTATGGGGTGGGATTTTAAAAATGCCTAGGGAAGACCAGAGTATACCTACTATCGCCAAATATTATTAATTTTAGTTCGTCTTTGTCTTTGTGCTGGTGTTTTTGTGCAGTTTTTAATAATGGAAGCAACATTTTCTTTAAGTGAGAGAGGCATGTCATTATTGGTAATTCATAGCTATACTTTTAGTTTTCAAAAAATGTTGGCTAATAAAACAGTTAAACGAAGGCAATGCAGTAAGGGAACATGTAAGGCATTTGTGAAAACCCAAGGATCTGACCATACAATAGTGCAATCAGTTTTGGATCACAATCATGAAAAGTTATCCGATGAAGTTTTTAACAGACATCTCGTGAGTAATTCAGTTAAGCGTAAAGCTGGGGAGGACATTTGTGAAAAACCCTTAAAACTCATTAGAAACGAAATTAAAAATTCTGCAGTCGAGACCTTAACCACAAAGGACATTGTAAGAGTCTCCTACTTTAACCAATCAGAAATAAAACTTCTTGTTAAAAATGACAAAGAAAATAAATATTGTCATATTTTCGTGTTGGTATGTTGATGGTACATTTGAATATTGTCCCCGTTTTTTTACTCAGTTGTTTACAATTCATGGTCATGAAAATTATCATTACATTCCATTAGTTTTTTGTCTTCTTCCTAATAAAACATTCTTATCATACAATCTTGTTTTTAAGTATATAATAGAGAAATGTGTCAAACTTAACCATCCTGTTTCGCCAAAAATGATAACAGTAGATTTTGAGATTGCTATTCATAAAAGTATCTACAAGGCGTTCCCAGAAGCAAGTCTACGAGGTTGTCGCGTTCATTTAGAACAGTCGTGGTACCGAAAAATTTAGGAATTAGGCTTAGCACAGAGTACCAAAAAAAGGGGAAATATCAAAGTTTTTAACCTTTGTTTTTGGATTACTATTTCTTCATCCTGAAGATGTAGGCGACATTTTCGCAACTGATTTAACACAAATTAAGCCTGTCAATGAAAAAGTTACGCAGTTTTGTGATTATCTCATTGGCAATTATATTGCAGAATACTCATTTTTTCCACCATTTATATGCGCAGAGCATTCTTCTTCTTTGCAGAGAACCATCAATTGTTGTGAGACTTTCCATTCGAAATACAATGTTTCCTCTTACGCCGCTCATCCTAATGTGAATGTTTTTATAAATGTGATGACTCAATTTCAAATTGACACATATATAAAAATTAATAGTGTTCTAATCCCAAAAAAAACTTGACACTCGAAGTTTAAGGAGAAGAAGATTTCTCGAAGACTTGCTGAGGATTTAAATCAACATAAAATAAGTAAATTAGACTTTATTAAAATAATTTCGTACAAATTTAGAGCTAATATTTAATTATATTTTACAGTTTTAATAAACATTTAAATGTGTAGTTATTGTTGAATTATTGCCCATTAGTCAATTTACAAAATATCCAGATTAATTAATAAAATAAGAGAAGTTACTAAAACGAATCAATATTCTTAAAACCTTACTGGCTAAAAAATATTTTCTGAAAATGTTACTGACTGAATATAAAGAGAACGTTTATAGAATTTTTAATTAACAACGCAAAAGGTGGCAACAATGGCTCAATTTTAGAGCTAAATTTGCTTAGCCTACGATAAGTGGCCCTTAGTACCTTATGGGGATGCAATTTCGTTGTGAAATTTTTAGAATCAGGTAGGAAAGCCTTTTTTGGAATGCAGTTTCGTAAGAGCCGTTGGTGATATTTCTGGATCATCTAATAGAAGAGTGATAGTCTTCTCAGTAACTGCTTCGCTTCAAATGATTTGGTGGTTTTTGAGTTTGTGATACGGTATACAATAAAAGCCCTGCTTGCCAAGTATTATAGTTATGAAGATCTGATAACTTAAATAAAGTAGTATTTTCCTTAATAAACATAATACAGTTTAAAATAAATAGAGATGGCAAAGTAATAATAGTTAATGCCTTAAAAAATCATTTACAACGTTCATACTCGAATAGTCTTTTCTGGATTTTAAAAAATGTGATCATAAATGGAAAGAAATACGATTCTTGAAAGGAATTTTTGATCATACAAAAGGGAACAATAGACAAACTGGGAATCGAAGAGTTATTTTACGATTATAAAGGGCGAAGACCTGAAGCAGTCAGTGTGACTAAGAACTGTTTTGGAAAATGAGGACAGTAGACATAATAGGTATACTTACTTTTGTATACCTATCAATAACACATATTAACGGATTATTAATTCATAAACAAACCTGTAATTACTTGGCATTTATTTCCCATTATGAAAATATTAAAAACCTCTTACAGAAATCTTATTATCCGCTTCTGAATGAATTTAAATTCCCACTTGCCATAGCAAATAAACTTCAATATATTTTTTTTTTATTATTGTTGGATAAATGTTGGTGAAGGACGTCGATCTTATTTAGATACAAACCAGTGAATCTGTAAGAATCAAATTATAAACTAAATTGCGGTGTAATTAAACGAGTTATTTTATTTTGCAGATGTTTACCTAGGAGCCATATTAAAGGCACGGAAATCATTATTAGTGAGAGTGACTACCAATAATAAATTTTTTTTATTGATTAATTTGCAATGGTGTACACAATTAGCGAAAATGTGGAGAGAATTACAGAACTGTAAGTATATTTTTAATTGTTTAAAATTATAGATAGGTAGACAACGGGTTTCAATATTACTGGATACAACGGGTCTAAGTGACATTTTCCTCAGTTTAAGAAAATCAAAGTCAAAGCTAGAAAAATTGTTTTTGTTAGGAATGGAAAGACTAAGTGCCTATCATTATTCAGGTCTTCGAATTTCAATATAACCTTTTTTAATTTTAGGCGTTTTTTCTGTTATTTGCATCAACTGCTATGGTTGTTACTCTCGTGTTCTGTGTAGGCTTTTTTACTATTTCCCATCGTCACTTTAGGACCCGCACTGTTAATTAGAACCCAACAAAGAATGATCGAGTGGGGAATCCTACCAACACATTAGAATTAATATTTAAGCCATTAAAACAAATATAAATCCTGCCACTGGCGGGATTCGAACCTAAAACCTTTGGATTTCAAAGTCCTGAGTCACCCTCCCTCACTTTAGGCGGTTTTATCTAGTTTTTTTAAATTATTATTTGCGTTTAGACCCCTTGACTTTCAAGAAGACATCACTTAGATCCTTCGACTTCTGAGCAGAATGGAAAATAAAATGATTGTAATAGTTTTATGAGGAATGAACTACATTTGTTAGTTAGTGTAAGGGCTCCACGCTAAGTAACTTCACCTGTCAAAAATCCACTTCGATCTCTTTACTACTCAACAAACTGGTATTTTAACCACCATGTACCAATTGTACCATTAATATTAGATAATAGGAATTTTTAATTAATTTTTTGATATGGAATCATCCTGTAGATGGAATTCCAATCAATATGTTAATACGAAAATTCTCAAAACAGGGCGGTGTAACATTAAATTTAATATCGATTTCAAAACTCTTGTTATGTTATAATCCTCTAATTGGTACTAAATATTCCCACCTCTGGTCGTCAAAATAAAATAAGGGTAATTATCTATTTTTAATATTTTGGAAGGGGACAAAACATTTAGTTGATATAGTTTATAGGATATTCAAGTTTTTAATTAATTTTGAGATTTTAATAAAGTCTCTTCTATCTTCTCTCGCGTTGTTATTAAGTTCTTTTCTCTCATATATCTTGTGTTGAGTGTATGCAGATTGGTTTCGAAAATAAAGCCAAAATTTTGCAGATATTATTTTCCATTTTTTGTTTGATTTTTCTTATTTTGTAATAAAAAAAGGAAAGTATTTTCTGATTCTTTAAATACATTTGTTACTCTTCGAAAACTAAAAATGGAAAATAATATCTGCAAAAGTTTAACTTTATTGTCAAATCCAATCAGCAAAAACTCAACACTTAACGATGGCAAAGATATATGAGAGAAAATAATTTAATGTCAACGCGAGAGAAGGGAGGAGAGACTTTTTTAAACTCCCAAAAATTATAAAAACTTGAATATCTTATTATCTACAGCAACTAAATGTTTTGCTCCCTTTCAAAATATTAAAAATCGATAATTACATTATTTATTTTGACGACTAGAGGTGGGAACAACTAGTACGAATTAGAGGGATATAACATAACAAAAAATTTGAAATAGATGTAACGGTAAAATTTACAAGAAACAAAATTGGGCCCAATACTGTTCCTTGTGGAACTCTCATATTTACTACTACATTGCTGATCTTTACGCGCTGGGATCTATTTGATAAATCTTATATAATAGTTATTTAGTTTGACAAGTAGAATGTTATGGGAAACGGTATCAAATGCTTTGGCCAAGTCAAAAAATACTGCAACATATTTTAATGATTCAGCTATTGCGCCAACTGTCTTTTTCAAAAAATCAACTACTGCATTCTCAGTGCTCGAGTTTTGTATAAAGCCACTATGAAAACAAATAATCTGCTTTTTATTTGTATCTTCAAAAATTTTGTTTAATTTAATGATAGCAGAAATTGGCCTATAATTGATTAGCTCACACCATGGTCACCGGATTTGTATAGGAGTTACAATTTATTCGTGACTAGAAAATACCGTCGGTAGCAAAAGTGTTGAATGCCAAAAATCACATATTGTAGTAAAAGCGTAAAATATTAAGCTTCTTTTGTTTATTAATATAAAATATAATCCGTTATTTAAACGAAAACCATAAGGTACGTTTTCGTCACTTACATATTCATTGCATTGACCTCGATAATATCACCCAGATTACAGTAAAATAATAAAAAAAAGTCACATAATTCATTAATAGATTTAATCACAGCAACGTAACTAATAATTGGTTTTATTTTAAATTACTCATTACGTTATTTCTTGAGGGATATAAATATTTGAAAAGGAAACCCTATAGCAAAGCATTGAAAATGTAGTTGGGAATCATGAATAAAAGAGAAAGTTCTTAAAAACTCCTATTCCAAAAATTGGTATAACTTTTAAACTGAAAACTTAATTCCATGTTATTGCATCGTAATACCAATAATACTAGACTATTAGAGAAACATGTTATTTTTCAAGCCAACAAATAATATCAATGAAAAGTTATGGCAGGCAATTTAATGGTTTGTCCTCTAGATCATTTTGATGTGTATACAATTAAAATTAAAGATGGATTTTTTTCTTAATAGGTCGCAAATTCTTGAATCTCTAATAGAATTAAGAAAAAATGTACACAAAGTGTAGACTGCTATTTTTCTTGGTCTTATTCGGATCAAAATCCAGCCAGGGGCTCGATCCTCAAGTTCATTGGAAAATTTTCCAATGGGAAAAGATTTCACTACTTATATTCTCATATATCTATCTACCTATCTGAATTTGGGTGTAGTTCAAAGCTCACTTATACTGAAGCTCTAGGCTTATTGTACCCCTCACAGTTTCTATCCCATCAGATTGATTTTCTTGATGAATTCAAGAATATGTCTGATGGGCGTTTTCGCGATTTTTTCAGGTTCCGGATATTGTACCCCGAAGTACCATTCCCGTTCCCATTTAAGGTTCCGACAGTGGCATAGTATGTAAATAGGAGTGCCGTCCTCCTCTTCACATATTCTACATAGGGAGTCATTAGATATCCCTAAGAGATTTAGGTGTCTTCTAATGCCGCAGTGTCCCGTAAGGAGTCCTATTACAGCCTTGAGTTAGCTTCTGTTAAGGTTTAGCAGTTGATTTTGTCTGCTCTATGAATCTTTTGGACTGTCTAAGTCCAGGAAGTTCCAACCAGAGCCTATGGTGTTCTCTATTTACTTGTTCCTTCAACACCCATTTAACATGTTGGTATGAGATACCGCATGTGGGTTCTGGTCCAATAAGAGTTTTTTCCGCTCCCTTCCGTGCTAGGAAGTCTGCTTTCTCGTTTCCAAACACTCTGTCATGTCCTGGCACCCATTTAAGGGTGACCTTGTTATATTCTGCCAGGGCTTGGAGGGACTTTTGGCAATCAAGTATTGATTTAGATTGTACTTCTACCCTTTTCAGTGCTTTAAGGACTGCCTGACTGTCTGTCATGATGAAGAGTCATAACTTTGGCGCAGGCATTTATTGCCGATACTTTAGCCTTGAAGACTGTTGTCAGTGACCACAGATTCAGACTAATTGTCCTGCCTGAGTTCACATGGTAGATCCCAGCTCCTGTGCTGATTTGCATTTTCGAACCGTCTGTATACCAGATTGATTTGTTTTATTTTTCCCTATTAAATTCAAGAACATTTCGAAACGACCAATAACATTAAAGATATTTGAAAATTTACTGTTGGCATTATTGGTATTTGTTATGGTTTGTGGGTAACCGATTACCTGCCAAGTCCCTGCATCGGAGCAGATGCCGTGCCGAGCAATAGCTAGAATGACCGAGGAACAAGTGAAAATATTCGATTATGTATAATTAAAACTTGCTGAATTATTCTTAATTTTTTTTACATGTTGAAAAAAGAAAAAGCAGCTTTTGTACGGAAGAGCAAAGAAAGTTTCGAGAAACTAAGAAATTTATTTACATCATAATTCTAATTCCCTCGTTAACGCAAATAATTAATGAAATTTTCTTTATTCAATTTACTACAAAATTCTCTATTTTTTATTATTTGCTAGTCCCTGAGTAGCTTTCTTAGTGAAAGAAAACTAAAAATAATATAAAAAAATGTTTTAACTAAAATTTCACTTAAAATTCAAGATATCCAAAAATATTTGGATATGTATTAGTCTTTCGTAAAATGTTCGACTTTTATGCGCAAAATCTAGTGCAATTTCAATTGGAAAACACAATTTTTAATGCTCGTAAGCAGGGGAATATATTACCATACTTCTCATTGGAAAATATTCCACCGCTTATGTCGAGAATACGAAAACTGAATAAAAGTCGAGAATTGCGTCCCTGAGTGGAAAAGAACTTGGAAAAATGTTGAAGTTACCAGTACTATATCAGCATTTGAGTTGAGATGCTGAAGATCCTGCAACTGTTAAAGGGTTTGCCAATTCAAATGAAGCAATGAAATAATACATTGCTGTATTAGCGAAATTACGGCATGTGAAGTTGTGGTTCTATTTAACATATCTTTTGTAAAACGTTTAACCCTTTAACGGAAGCTGGTACATATATGTACCATATATGTATGACGATCTTAATATCCGTTTCGATCAAGGTCAGACTTCTAAGGTACAAAAAATATTTACCAGAATACACCATTATTTTTGTAAGTTACTTTTGAAGGTACTCTAACAAGACCATAACGAAACTGAATATTTTAGCCTTTTACATGAAAGGTACATAAGCGTACCACACGAAATTATGGTGGTACAAATATTCACTTTTCAAATAGAGCTACATATGATTTTGATACTCAGTATAACAAACATTACCAGTTTAAAAAAAAAGTTAATTAAGAAGCATCTAGAATCTAGCCTGTTAAAGGGTTAAAACAAAAAATAATTTAATCTTCAAAACTGTAATCAAAAAAACAGATATTATATTTTTCTAAATTTAAAATAGAAAATCACCTTAATCAAGCACTTGTTTTTATTTTAATCAAATACATTTTGCGGTCTATATGTCATCAATATTAACAT